TATATATATATATATATATATATATATATATATATATATATAATCCTGTGACCGAGTGGTTTGAATATTTGCTATCACGTTGAACATTGGTTCCCGTACAATCACCGGTTAAACAACGTGTAGCCTGGTCAGCAACTAGATGGGTGACTGATTGGGAATACCAGGTGCTGTAAGCTTGATTGGTATAATGGATAATGGCTCGAAATTGTTAATCGGAGAGCCGAGTTCCAATTCCAGTTGAGTTCGTAATACTCACTTACGCGCAAATATCTTTGAGAAAGGTCTCCCCAGCTATGAGTTAATTAGTAAAACTTGTACCACTAACACCATTATAAAAAATAAAGAAAATAAAATGGAGTACAAAATTTATAAAGGTGAAAATGTATAGGAAGTGCACTAATTTCTGAGACTTCCATGCTGACGATTGATCGTAATTTCAAGTTAAAGAATGCAGTTTTAATTATTAGAGAAAGGAATTCATGAAGGCGAAAATATATAGAAAGTGCACTGATTTCTGAGTCTTCTAATAATAAATTTAGGGAGAAGTTCATGCAGCGTAACACCTTTCTTGGGTATGACAATAAACTACATCCGGCAGCAAGGCCTCTGATCGGGAGATTGGAGGTCTTGAGGAGCGTAAAACCACCTCTTAATTGCTGTTGTTCCCAGGTCCACCATGACGCGTAGTGGTAGCACCTTTTAGGGTCACAGCTATGGGCAAATAGTGACCCCCCCCCAAACAAAATCAAAAAAACATATTTATAGTAAAATTATCAACAATACATTTTATGAGGTACAATATATATATATATATATATAAAGACCTTTACTCTGAAAGTATAAAATTATGTACAAAATATTTAGATTTCAGCTTTAAATAACCCATAGAGATGTTGATATGCCACTGAACAAAAACAACCAACTAAAACTGACTGACTTATCGTTTAGAGACTAGGTTGTTGTAATGGAACCTGACCGTTAAGTGAGGAATGGTTGCATTATGTAATATGACTGTGAAAATAAAATAAAAACCAGTCTGTTATTCTCATTTTCTTCCTCTTCCAAAGAAAAAAAAAAATTTAAATGCCAATCAATAGCCGGTCAGATTGACAAAAGAACACCTAAACAGATAAATATTATTGCAAAAAGAACTGACAAAAAAGGTACCGAGACATTAAGAAGGAAAGGAAGAAATAAGACAGTTTTATTTACACTTCTCTACCTGGTTCAAAACTCTTTAAAAGTTTGGCCTTTACTTAAATAAACGCTATGTTCATTTATTATATTAGATTATAATTGGTTTCTTTTATTTTTATTTTGTTGGAGACCGAAGCATGGATAAAACGGCTTACAAAACTACAACTGTATTTTTTCAATAGATGGAGTTGACCTAGAGATTATATATATATATATATATATATATATATATATATATATATATATATATATATATATGCACACATACAATGTTTAGTTTTACACACACACACAATTTGTTATTTTTATGGGTGCAAAAACAGGTTTGTGTGTTTATAAAAAAAAGTCTTGATTTCGTGAGCAAGAAGCATCCAGTTTCAGAAATTTAAGAACTTTTAGGAAAAAAAAAGTAAAGTGAAAGATGGGTGTGGTGAATAATCTCTTTGCATGTGTACGCACATACACATGCGTGTGTACACAAAATTGCTTCCTTAAAGCTTTGATATATACATGGATAAATATATATAAGATGCTTATATGGCAATCTGCATATAAATACATACCCACAGGAGTATTACATATCAAAACACATACGTACCCAACCACTTCTATGGCATTACTTACACACACACATTATATATATATATTATATATATATATAATGCGCTCCAAACACACATACAATAGTATCCGGTTACACATTTTCTAGCACACAGGCCTCATCGGGTGGTAATCCCTGTAGCAGACGCTTGCTCAGATACTACAGTATATGTTTGTCCAACACCCAACAGAGCTTACATGTGGTTTATACTGCAACAATGCTGAGTGAACCTGACTTACAGTTTCTGGGAGAAACAACATGTCTATCATTGTTTGGTCACTTCGACGTGGTGTAATGGTTAGCTAGGTTGTCTCGCTAGAACAATTACGACTGAAAGGTGAGTTCGATCCTCATTGGGTACCCCATACTTTCGGCCCTGTGTCACATCTAAGTTACGCTTAGAAAATCGCCATATATCTGCCATGATTAATCGTTTGAACAACACCAATATGCTCAAAATACTCGCTCACGATGGCTTGTGATTTTGTGCTAACAATTACCAACGAATAGTTTCAGAATGTATGGATCAATGCATGGTTTTTCAAGCATTTTCCAAAGGTAACGTATGCTGGAACAACCCTAACCCACCCCAAGCAGCTAACATCAAGAAATCACCTTTCTGATACATCGATCATGCTAAGATCTGAACCTGTATCTCATGGTCAGAATACGAACTTAAATAATAAAATCTGACAGTGTTGTAATTCTAGGTGGGATCATTTTAATACTTATGAACAATATTAAACTGATCCCCTAATTTATGCCCACTAGAAACTTATAATATTTAATGTAAATGTATTTTGAAAATGTTCAGAACATTGGTTGATTATTACTAATGCTTTCGTGAAAACATTGACTTACATAATAAAATCTGACAGAGTAATTTGGGGGTCATCGGGAGTGTTTATGGTCCTTAGTCTCATTCGGGTAACCCAACTGAGGGTTTGCATTAACACGGAACGCTACAGAAACGGAGACGCGCACAGACGCTACAGAAACGGAGACGCGCACAGATACGAAGGAAACGGAGACATGCACAGACACGAAAGAAATGGAGACGCGCATTGATGCGATGGAAACGGAGACATGCACAGACGCAACAGAAACGGAGGCGCGCATTGACGCGATGGAAACGGAGTCGCACACAGGAGTAGCGATCAATATCAACAGAGAGAGAGAAAGCGAAATGTACAACTATATATATATGTGTGTGTGTGTGTGTGTGTGACAGAGAGACAGACACTTATAGACTTTAAAATATATTTTCTGTAGTAATACTTTTTTAAAGAGAAAACAAAATGTTTTAAACTTGTGAAAACGACAGGCTTGACATTTAAACAGTGTCAACCTTAATTTTGATAAGGAAACAATAGAAAATATAGTACTTAACTCCCCACCCTCAAAGATTTACCAACTTCCTGTGATTCTTCTTGAATGTTGCAATAGCACAGTTCAACAGGCAATGAGTTAAACCATTTTATCAAAATGAAACACTTTCTCCAGCTAAGCAAATCATACAAACAGCTGGAGGCAATCATAATCTTCTATTTCAGAAACCAGGTCCAGTCATTCGGACAGAAAATCCACAATAATCAATTAAGTTCAGAAGTAATTTCTGGCTTTTTGAGAACCAATTGCAATGACGAATGTGTCATTATAACTAGTAATCGGATGTGACAGTTAAAAATAAATTTAGTGTACACTACATGCAACATTGTTCAATGCAAAAGGATTTAAAAGGACTAACAAGAATAAATCTCCACCACCACCACCAAAAGATTAGCTCTATGGAAGAAAGATTATGTTGCGCATGTGGTGTGACGGGGTCTTATTAGAGATGTAATGTTCTTAAAAAAAAACACGATGAAATATTAAATGCACATTTATACATCCATCAGCTGCAACGTGTCCATAGGAAAAACGTTGTTCTCGTCCATTACAACACAAGGCCATGTATAGCAAGAATAACATAGAAAGAAAATGGCGAGACTCAGTGGGCCTCTTTTATCCTTACCAACCATATTCACTAGACCTTGCACCAACCGATAATCAATTTTTTGATCGCTGGAAAGTTAGCGCCGTATGATAATGTATTCTTCCGCCGATCAATATAAACCTTCCACTGCGCCGTTTGCGTCGTATTTACGGGACAAACGGCATAAGTCGAAATGAGATTAATGGCGATTGTGCGTACACTGTGGATTAAAAAAAGATAGTTATTCTCATACATGACAACACAAGGCCATGTATAGTAAGAATAACACAGGAAGAAAAGGGTTCTCTTTTATTCTTGCCAGCCGTATTTACCTGACCTTGTACCAACTTTATTACCTTTTTTAATCACTGCAAAATACTTTGATGGGTAAATTTTCTGTAATGAAAACCAGATTCAAGAATTCGTCGAAAACTTTTCATATCAAAACCCGCGGAACTTTACTCAAAATATATCAAATATCTTCCTGATGAGTGGCAACAAGTAATAGCAAAAAATGGTATATATATATATATATATATATATATATATATATGTATGTATGTATGAAAAAGTGAAAAAAAAGTCATTCTACCATATATATTCTTTTTTGACGACTAAAATTGATAAAAACAAAGACGGAAATCATTTATGACTAAACATAAAAGTAAAGCTTCCATTTTCGATGTTTATAGAAGAAAATATGTTATTGTTTATAATCAACACTGTCTTTAGTTCCTACGAACTATGTCCAAATGACAAAACAAAGGTTAAGTGGTCCATTAAAAAATTATCAGATTCCTCATTATAATTTACTTATTGTCCTTGTGACTTTTTTACGTCAAATATAATAGTAGTACCGGTAATGATGATAGTAGGATTGGTAATTAGAGTCTTAGTATGACTATTACTAAATTTGTCCAGATAACTGACTTATATTTGGTTGAGAGGATTACAATTTCCTCAAGCCGCCACAACTCTACATTTTAAATTTTAACAAATGATCGTTAAGCTATACTGGGTCTGATAATATAAACTTCGGTGTCTTTAATTTATAGCCTGTAGGTAGAAGTGATAATAGGGGTTCAATGTAAATAAACAAAAGGGGACTCAGTAGGTGATACTTTCGCCAAAAAAGGAGCTGGCGCAAATACACAAGGTGCAATTGGTAGGTGACACTTTCACTTGGAGTGGGTAACACAAATAACACACGGGACAATTCGGAATCGGCTAGTACCTGGAACAAGCACTGACGCCAACACTGATTCTTTTTATTGAACGAATGGCGTGAGACAGAAGCCTGGATGGAAAAAAAACTGCAGGCAGTCAAATTTGATCTTCAAAAATTCAAATGCGGTATCAATCGTTATCTTCTGTCTTCTTAATTTCTGATCTCTTATTGTTCTCGCTCCTTAATAACGTTTTTCTTATATTCTTTCACACTCATTAATCTGCGTGTTAGCGGCTTTGTTGCCTTGCTTGGGGTGAAATCCCCGAACTCCCGCCAGTCACGATAAATGGATATCCCCTCGGAGGGGGACAATATCCTGAGAAACTATTGAGCCTTAAACTCACACCTGACCTCAAGTGGAACTCGTACATACAAGCCATCGCTAAAGATGCAGGTAAAATGGTCGACTCCCTTTACCGCTCCAGTCAATACCTGACCCCACGTGATATCCTCTACCTTTACAAGAGCCAACGAATGGAGTCCCCGTGTCCTCGTGACTGACAAATTATTTTCCACACTCTAACCTACCTTTCAAAGGCGGGATGTAGTGAACCTCTCACTGCTCTAACACTACTTTTACGGAAAGTGCTCGAACAAACTATATTCATTGGTTCCGCCAGGCGTAACCTTCACAGCAAGGACTTATAATAGCAAACCACCCACACTCGCTTCGTATTCCATTGGTGTGAAGTAAGTTCCACTTGAACAGCTTCTTCAGGTAAACAACTGCTTTGTGGAACCGACTCCCAAGCGGATGTTTCTCAGATTACTACCATCTTAACCGGTTCAAGATTAACCGTTATCTTCCCCTATCTGCTATTTCAGAAACCAGGTCCAGTCATTCGGACAGAAAATCCACAATAATCAATTAAGTTCAGAAGTAATTTCTGGCTTTTTGAGAACCAATTGCAATGACGAATATGTCATTATAACTAGTAATCGTATGTGACAGTTAAAAATAAATTTAGTGTACACTACATGCAACATTGTTCAATGCAAAAGAATTGAAGATTGATGCTAACGTTGCCTTCTACCTTAAGTGGCCTCTGACCTTGTATAGAGTGAACCTTACTGTAAAAAACAGAAAAAAAAAAACTTGGAAAAACTTCTCACAGAAGCCCAGATGCAACAGGTTTCAAAACTACTGTCATCTTTCAGCCTGTTTTTGTATTTCTTTTCCTTGGTTTCCAATATCCACGATGCCTTATTTTGCAAATGACCATGTCAGTCTTCGCCACATACCCAGAACAAAATATTTTCATAATCAAAAATATATTTTATAATAAACTTTACACACAGAATCATAAGCTGCTGTATTTGGCCTTTAAGAAACGTACTTTACAAGGGTATTTGGGAGATAACTGAAGGACAAAATGGAAAAAAAAATTACGTGACGCATTTTGTCCTGCAAAATGACTTCAGATTAAACAATTTTTTTTTATTATTATTGATGGCATCATATATATGGAAGAGGAGAGAATGAAATACAAACATTATAATAATATATTGAAAGAAATGCTAAAGATGCAGAGATTTTAAGTTTCTATCGTCCAATGTGTCTAGATGCACAACATAGTCGTGCTCATTCAGCTTCGTATCACTTCTGTTTTTTGTTTTGTTTTTATTTATTTATTTTTTAAAACGCTGTTTTGTAATATCTCACATGATAATAGTAGCGATTGTATTATTGACTGAATGTTTTGTTTGTTTAACGGCATGTCAATTCCTTCATGGGTTATTTAAAGGCAAAATTTATTTTTCTTGGGAGCGTTGAAGTAAGAAAAATATATTATATACGTTATTTTGCTTTCACAGTTGAATACATGGTAGATGATGCTCAGCTTTTCTGCATATACATGTTTGTATGGGCATAATTACTAGAGGCGGTGATTTGTGTGTTTTATGTTGGAGTTTTGTTGAAGTTATATTTTGGAATACAGTTTGATTTCTTTAAGAAATTGTAGGAGATTATATGGACTAATGTTAGGAAAGAGATCTTTCATATTGGTTGTTTGATTGATTGATTTTGTTTGGCGGCATATCAACACTTCTATGGGTTATTTAATGCCGAAATCTAAATATTTTGTACGTAATTTTATAGTTTCAACTACAGATATTCTGTACACCATAAAATGTATTGCTGGTAATTTTGCTATAAAAATATACTGTTGATTTTTGCTTGGGGGCTCACTATTTGCCCATAGCAGGGACTCTAACAGGTGGTACCACCTCGGGTCAGGGTGGACCTGGGAATGCAGCAATTAAGAGGTGGTTCCACGTTACTCAAAACATACAAATCTCCCGATCAGAGGTCATGCTGCCGGATGTAGTTTATCGTCATACTCAGTAAAAGCGGTTTTGTTAAGAAAGGTGTTATACTACATGAACCGGTCCGTAGATTTACTATTGAAAAACTCAGAAATCACCGCGCTTTCTATACATTTTCAACTTTATGAATTACTTTCCCTGATAATTAAAACTGCATTCTTTATGTAGAAATTATGATCCGACGTCAACGTGGAACACTCGGAAATTAGTGCACTTTCTATACATTTTCACTTTAATAAATTAATTTCCGTCTTAAAAACTGCAATCGTTAAGTTGAAATTATGATAAAAATTATTGCAATAAACAATTAATGCATTGAACGTGCTGTTTCAGAAAAGATCCTTTTTTGTTCATATATTCTTTTATTTAAATTCCGAACCGTATTGTGTGTGTGTGCATATATATATATATATATATATATATATATTAAGAAATGGACAAAGTCCGACAATTTATTTATTAAAGACATTTTTATGTTTAACGTTCTTTTTTATAGATACAAGTATTTAAGCAAATGCTCTGTTTATAATAAACAGTATTAAATAACATTTACTGGCCTGAATGTCCGAGAAATTTTCATAGAAAATATTCGTCCTTTGACAGGATTCGAACCTGCATCCTATACGGAACCGTCATTTACGCTGACGTGCCTTAACCGTCTCGGCCACAAAGGAGCGTTCGGTAGGCAAGGTAGAATTTATCTATATAGAATTGTATCTATAAAAAAACGTTAAAACATAAAAAATTTAATATATATATATATATATATATATATATATATATATATATATATATATATATATATATATATATACACACACACACGGGATGTAACAGCAAAATTGTCAAAATCGTGTTACAGCATAATTTTCCATTCCGCAAAATGTTTAATATCTAAAAAAAAAAAAATAATACTAAACTGAGTTTCTTTTTCCAGGTTTTCAAGTTTTACCGATGTATTTTAAGATTTTTATTACAGTTTATAGTATATATACTTGCTTCCTTGTTTTTAACCGGGATACTTTCGAAATAACATTAAACTTAAGACCCAAGAGGGTCACCCCTATAGGCAGTAGCTCTCCGCCCGGAGGGGGCTGGGGTCATTACACAGCGTCTGACGCATTCCCAGAAAGGGGAAATGTCAAGGGAGCTTGATAATTTTTCTGCAGTATTGACTTTAAACCCACTTTAAACTGATCTTGTATCACACGCGGTTGCGACCTGGGCGCACTGAACAATCTATATAATACAAATAATTGCTTCAGGTTTTAAACTGTTATTTAGTTGTTGTTTTTGTTGTTGTTTGTTTGTTTTGTTTTTTAAATTAATCTAAATCTCTTATTGTTTTTGGAGGAGTTGTAAGAAATTATATTAATAAAGACTAAAGGACAAACTCATCTTAGCCAACGCGTTTCGTTCTCTGCGGGACTTTATCAAGGAGGACGAAACGCTTCGGCTAAGTTTTCCTTTATATTTATTCATATCATCCTTTTACATATACTCAATCTGAAATTTAAAAAAAAAATATATTAAATTAATATAAATTCTTTTCAAGGGTATTTTGGATAACTACTGTTCAATGCAAATCATTCAAGCCTCCTCCCCCAACTATCTATTTCAAGTTTTGAGTAGATGGCAGCCTAATCAGAATATGAGCACATTGGACATGGTACAATATTCACATTGATATTTCTAAAATTTAACTATGCATCTATTTTTTTCCTTGTTGTCATAACATCAGCAGTGGAATATTCTTAGATTCCAATAAACTTCATTCTTATCATATCTTTTTTTCTACTCCTCCTCCTCCTCCAAAGAAACATTCACGATGTCACAGACCTTACTACGCACAGAATCCTTAATGATTTGAATTAAATGGAACTGACAATGTCCAAAAACTATAAATAAAGCCGACCAATATATAAAACACAAAATGAGAAAAACAGCAGTTAATTGCTGAAATTTCCTGAAGAGTGGATTGAATAATTACCCAGTGCGGATGAAGATGAATATAACATCAATCAGCTAAATGATTACATTTATTTTTTATTAATATATATATATATATATATATATATATATATATATATATATATATATATATATATGAAGAATATAGTTTTAAGGTCTGCTATATTTATGGGATAAAATTGCTCAATATCAGAGATAGAGCGTATCTAAATAAAAAAGTGAACATTGAATTCAACACTCGATAAGAGGCGACATGCTGTTTCATGACGGCGCCTGAGGACGATTTGCGTTCAGCATGAAACAGCCTTTATTACGCCTGAATGTTGACTTCAATGTTCAAAAAATATATATACAAATACATAAATTTGGAAATTTTCAAATTGTTTTACAGCATAATTGTCCAAAAAAAAATGTTTAAATAGGTAAAAAAAAAAAATACTAAACTGAGTTTCTTTTTTCCAGGTTTCCATATAAGACGTTTAGCCATCTTGACGCTATTTATCAGAAGAATCACTGAAAAACTATTTGAAATAGAAAAGGAACAGGTTAAAATTGTTTTGTGTCAGCCCCACTGTCTTTTCAACTAAGCAATGGTGAGAGGAAAAAAATTATTCAAGCCTTCAGTAATGGTACCAACATTCGTACTCTAGCTTTCATCTTTAAAGTCCATTCAAGTACCATCAAGAGAACGGTGAATAAGTTTTAAAAAGAGGGAACAGTAGAGAGGAAAACTGGATCAGGATTTCACAACAACAAGATGGATCACTATTTCAATTTAGAGCTAAATACATTCTTATTGTTCAAAGTAGAGTACAATAGTGTTATAAAAACCTCGGAGAATTACAGTAAAATATCTTTAATCATTTCTAACATACAATGGTTCAAAGCTTAATCGAACAATTGAACAATTTTGCTGTTACACCCGGTATTATATATATACATTTTATTATCCTAAGAAATATAATAAAACATTTTCAAATCGAAATAAAAAATTGACAGAAATTTTCAATACTCCTGAAGAAGTCCAATCATAGTATTGAAACATGAAAGCTTCCTTGTAAAAATTGAATTTCTTTATGTTTCATTATAATCTTATTATAATAAAAATAAGATATTCTTTACATTGTATTGAGCATTTTTTTTTAAAAGTAAATGCTACGAACAGTGGAATTTTACTCCATCTGTTCTTTCTCTCATTTGGAGATAGATAGATAGATAGATAGATAGATAGATAGATATGAACAGACTGAGATAGATAGATAGATAGATAGATAGATAGATAGATAGATAGATATGAATAGATGAGATATGATAATTTCAAGATAGATAGATAGATAGATAGAATTTGAACAGACAGACTGAGATAGATAGATAGATAGATAGATAGATAGATAGATAGATAGATAGATAGATAAATGAAATTTGAAACATTAAATAGATAGATAGATAGATAGATAGATAGATAGATATAACCACGTTTAGATGAATTCATAAATAGATAGAAGTACAACTGAAAATGAATAATATGGAAAAAATTGTTTGGTAAACTGAATTCAAGTTTTTCTTTTGAATCAACGGCTGAAGTATTTCAGTCAATCATTTTCTTTATTATGCTGTAATTTTTTATATATATAGATTCCTTTTTGTTGATTTTTTTCAAGCTGCAAATGTATTCAGGGTGGAGAGAAAAGCTTTTAAAACATACAGGGGTTGAAAAAATGTCTGCCATAAATAGAGGGGTGCATAAAATTTGCTATATATGATGAGGTTATTACAGTTCACTAAAGATGAGAGTGGATTCAGTAAAGTTTGTTATATCCAAGTGCATGCTGAAATGTTTACTTTAGATGGGGTTGCAAAAAAATTTATATATATATGCAGAGAATATGAAAAATTTCCTGTATTAGGAGGGTAAAAAATGTCTTCTAAATTATATAAAGGAATGTGAAATGAAACTATCTCTATCTATAAATCAGGAATATCTATGTGTGTGTGTGTGTGTGTGTGTGTGTGTGTGTGTGTGTGTGTGTGTGTAACGAATGCACGGCCGCAATTTTCGACAGATTTGCACCAAAATTTACATGCACATGCTCCAAGTTAGCGGGAAAAGGCCAAGACCGACTTTGCATTTCCCAACTCCCATCGATAGTGGAAATAATCGATTTTTTCATGCTTCTACGGCAGTTTTCATGTAGTTTGCGGCCATTTATACTGGCCAAAGTGAGAGCCTATAGCTGGCTGCCACGAATAGGCAGGAAGATTCTATTGGCCAGCGTGAGAGCCAACAGCTGACTGACACGAATGTTAACTAGCATGCTAGCATGCAAAAAAAAAAATCGATAGCTGCATTCGTCACAAGTGGGAAAAATTTAAATCTGCATGGCACTTTACTCCAATTGGCTCATTCACTTGCTTAAACTCAACGTTGATTCTGATTCCGCAGAACTGGGTCGGGTGTGAAAAGTATTTGTTGTTAACATTCTTTTTTTCATTCGGTTTTTCCAGTTACGAGTCCTTTTTTTAAAGCTGATCGTTTTGTGTTCATTTTGTTTAGTTCTTTTTTCGTAACAGATTTAATGTTTAGTATAGAGCTTAGAAAAAATTCGCAGTGTGAGATAGGCAAGAAGTAAGGCATGTAGCAACATCAGCACGGAAAAGGGCACTCCTTTAAAGGCAAGGAAGGGCAAAAATATTTTAAGTCAAGTGATAGCGATTGCTGTATGAGTCGTACGATTTTTGAATCAAGCACGGGCAACGCCGGGCCATGCTGCTAGTATATGATAGGACTGCTGAAAAGTTTGCTATATAGGAGAGGTAGAGGAATTTTTGGTCAATCCAAGGGATTAAAAGAAATTGAGATTTTTGGTCAATTGGGGTCAGATTTTGTAAAGTGGGTCAGGCTGCAAACATTCATATAATAAACATATTTAATGAGGAATGCTTGCATTAATTCCTGACCACTGACAATCCATTTCTACCTGATTTTCAATGCATTTCTATAACAACATCATAGCAATGCATTTACATTGTATATATAATAGCTCTATCCTATCAATACTGCTTGCATTAATTCCTGACCACTGACAATCCGTTTCTTCCTGTTTTTCAATGCATTTCAACAAAAAAGCATTAGCAATCCTTTTATGTTTTACATATAATTTCCCTCTTCAATTTGTCATGCTTGTTACAATTCCTGACCATTAATATTCCTTTTCTTCCTGATTTTCAAAGCACAGTTTATAGTTTGATTGGTGAAATTTTCTAAAAAAACAATTTAGATAGGACTTGTGAAATTCAATGTATAGCTATGAAATTCTGCTAACTCCTACCAGAAATATTTTGTCTGTGACTATAAAAAACAAAGTTGAAGAGTGAGAGAGTAGCTGTAATGTCAGTGGGCAATGATAAGAATAACAAAAACCTTCTTTATACATACTGGTTTCAAGTGACACTCGTATTATAAAACCAATTAGTTTCATTTTCCCACTACTTACATTCAGAATTTACTGCGTCACACACTGCACATGTTAATCATTCAAGAAAATCAAATGTTTAGTGTGTCATATAAATCCTACCTATGATATCACATGTTACATAAACAATTATTAAAAGTAATCTTGCAATTCAAAATTTGTCAGTGATATTTTTCTTGCACTTTGATAACAAAGCCAAAATGACAGAAATTAGCCCAGTAATTCCTAATTTTCTTTTTAAAGACTCAAAAGGTTAAGCTTATTGGGTATAAGGTTTTATTGGTTAAATAGTAACATGGTTAATGGTAGTCTTAGTTTCATAATTAGCAGCAGTAACAGTAGAAGTAGTAATAATAGTGGGACTGACATACAATCATCTTTTTGTTTTAGATGTTAATAAGATTAAAAGTTTAAAACCAAAACACGGTTAATTAAACAGGCAAAGAAGCAGAAAGACGAGATGGCACATTTACTCAAAATGGCCATTTATTATAAAACCCATCAATTGTCATTGAAAAGGGGGGTGAATATAAGTGAAAAATGAAGCAATTTAACTTGATGCTTGCTTCTGAGGAGTCAGGAAGTCTAGTAGACATCTGTCTTAATGTTTTGAGAAGTTATAATTTTGTGAAAATCAAAGGTCAGATAATAGTCAGATAAGAACAAGCAAAGATACAGGAATGTTTTCAAGTGTAATAATTGATTGACTAAAGTTTGAACCAAAGACGGACAGATTGATTTGTCTTTTAGAGCTTATCAACCCTTTGTGTATTATTTAAAACTGAAAAATATTTTTCTGATTGTAAGAATATTTCTCTATATTTCTGAAATGAAGTGGATAAAAGCACTTGTTGAGGTAATCCAAAAGTGACTTGACCCAAAGCATTGTAAGTTCAATACCTGGCCACTGCAGAGTTGAAACAAAAAAAATTGAAGAGTTGAGTTACTAAAGGAAAATAATTGAAACTGAGATATCCAGAAAAGGCATGGCATGTGGAACTAGAACAATCTACCCCCCTAGACTAAATAAAGGGTTCAGTACAAAATTCCAGTGTATATCACCTGAAGAAGGGAGGAGAATACAACATTGTTAAAATGTTCACCTCAAAGAACATGGAATATTCAGGTGACTTTTATTCTGACACACACACATTATATATGTATGTATATACACACGCACACAGAGGAACTCTTGTGGTATGGAAGTCAGAACTTCTTGTATTCATCCTTCAAGTTCTTCTCAAGAGTTGGTTAGGTATATTAGACTTGCTCCTTTAACCAACTCCAACAAAAAAAGTCACAGGGTGTTCAGTCAGGACCCCTACCTGGCCACTCATACATAAAAAATAGGAGATCATTTTTTCAATCACTATATATATATATATATATATATATATATATATATATATGTATACATACAAGCTTAAAAGCTGCCCGATTGGGCAGCATTTAAGCTAGCTCCTGTGGAGTGCTCTTGATTGAGGCTCCATCACAGTAAATAGATAGGAGTAGATGCACTAGACAACAATAAACTACAGAAGAACTCAAAATTGATCACTGCATTTAAGTATTACATTAATATTTAAGCTTAGTTTTAAAAGTTCAACATTAATTCTTCTGCCGCCACTTAATTTAAAGACAATTTCATGTATGTTGTTCGTTACTTTCTGTAAAACAATTATTTTTATTTCATGGGTGACTTTTGCTAGATTTCACAATTAATTCCAATTATTCCCAAATTTATTTCCAAGTTATAAAAATTGTTATGCAAAAAAAATCAAGTAAAAAAAAAAAAAATATCACCAAAAACAATCACAATAATGAAAACTTGGGAATCCAAAATTTCAGGATTGCTGGTCTGGATCTGGCTTAAAATGTTTTTAATTTGGCCACAGAGTTGACCTGATTCCAAAATGATATGATATGTTGAAACAGACAATTTTATTTTGAAATTTGAGAACAATATTTTTTTCATTTGAAATGAGCTATTGAAAGTTAGAGAGTTGTGTCCCTTTAAGTTGAAAAAGTGTGACACAGTGACACACTGACATTTGCATTTTATTATATATATATATATATATATATATATATATATACACACACACACACACACAGGGTCTGATGGGTATATTATCCCCATTTCATATTTTTAATTGGGTGTTTACGCATTGTTTTTTTTGTTGACTGCACAGTATAGTAGGGTCAGTTGGGCACCATTTGTGAGAAAAAAAGAGCACCATGATACAAATCAGTGCAACAGAAATTTCTAAAAAGTATGCTGTACTGTATGGCATTCATGCTAGAAGCTCCAATACGAACATTTCAGAGTGTTTGGGTTCCAATCTGAGTACGGTACAGAGGATTTGGAAAGAGTTGGATGAGTTTAATTGCGATTACAAAGAGGTTGGATGTGATCACTAGTGATGGCGACATTATGCCTCCATTCATCCTTCCCACAAGGCTTCAGACTCAACACAAAGGCCTACATCAAGTTCCTTCAAGTGAGACAATTTCTGTAACCACATCACACCTTGCATCTGGCCACTTAACTCCCCAGACTGCAACCCTCTTGATTATTATTTGTTGGGTGCAGTTGAATGAGAGACCAATAAAACTCCTTGTAATGCCAAAGATGAACTGAAGGCAAGAATTATGGCAACATTCAACAACTTAAACAAGGAGACCATCCAGAAGAGTTTCATGAGATTCTGAAGTTGTCTGGAAGCCATAGTTGAAACCAATGGTGATTTTATTGAATAAATTTACTCTCTAGTATTTCAAGAAATTTTTGTGTAATTTTGGTAAATATATCTATTAAAATAAGATATTAGTGTTATATTCATTTTTGCATAACTTAGACAGCCATTAATCCATCACACCCTCTGTGTGTATATATATATATATATATATATATATATATATATATATACTACACACACACAGATATTGGGCCAGGACAAAAGTGAATTGCAAAGACAATATTTATTCAACTATGTGTCATTTTGTTCCAATCCCTTTCACCATTTTTAACTCAGCTTCATGATTCCATCCTCCCAGAATATGGCATTTTTGTAGCTGATGTATAGCATATAAAGAGATGTGACATATGAGCAGACTGTACACACAAGAAAGAAATCCTCTGCATAAGCAGAGAAATCATTTCAAGAATATCTCAAGCTCAGAATATACAAATATCCTCCCCAACACAACAATATTTTTTCTTCCCTTTCCGGCAATGCAAATGAGAATAAGAGTAAAAGAAATAGTCTAAGTTACAAATGACAATAGTCATTGATTTGTCAGACGCAGGTTTAAATAATGGCTTTCTCATCAACAACAGTTTAGTGTGATCCAAAGAGGCTCATTACGCTCATGTGGATTAAAAAGCATATGTGTGCTACATTTCAGCCTAATCCATCTGGTATATTTGCTATCTGTACAGTCAAGATGCCTGCCTCACCCTCACAAACACACACAATCATCTTTAAGAAATGAGACTGACTTTTCTATAGTAATAGTATTTTAAGGAAAAACTAGGACAGAGTAGAAAAACGTTTTTTTGCATGACACGTTTCGTCATTTAGGACTTCATCAGATGAAGATGATGTTTACATTGATGTGACTACACATGTACACAAACGAGAGGGAATGTTTAGAATCTTAAATTTAAATTTTTTCTTTTTTAACATGTTTTGGATAGAAAAGTGTAGCCAATTACATTTAGTGTCTTTTTTGTTTTGTTTTGTTTATCACTTTTGTTCTTAAATATCCCACATTGCAATAATGGAAGATCTGGTAAGAAAGGGGAATAGTTGAAAGAACCTGGATGTAAATTTACTATGGATGATCAAGTGATTAAAGTATTTTCTATACATTTTTGTCTTAGTAAATTGCTTTCTCTTTTAATTAGTGTCACATTTTTCAATTCAAAATTATGGTCAAATTCATTATGATGAGCAACTAATGTATTTAATATGTCGCTTTGCAAAAGATCCCTTTTGTGTTCATGTAATATTTTATTTTAATTCCTGGAGGTTTCTCCAATGTATTCCTTGTGGCAATTATTACCGGCAATAAAGTAAATTATTTTGTTTTGTATTAATTAATTCTTTTTTTTGTTTTAGACATTTTAGTTGTAACAAATATTATGTTAAGCTTAGATAAATTCTTTTCAATTATACCTCCACCCTCTGAGCTTACTTTCTAATCACCAGTTACTTACCATCGCCTGAAGAAAAACAATCATAGTATTGAAACATGAAAGCTTTTGTGTAGTGATTTCAAAATGCTTTTATTATAATCTCATAATAATAAGATTATATATATATATATGTGTGTGTGTGTGTGTGTGTGAGCAAAGAAAAATAGAGGGTGAGTAGACATTAAGATTTCTATCTCAGCATTGCTGGTGGAATCCAAAGAAAAGAATAAACTAATACAGTTTAAAACTTCAGAAGTTGCTGGAAAAAGGATTCAGAACACCTTCATCCATCTTCAGGATTCCAGTCTTGATTTGTGTCAGGTTTACTCTTTAGCTTTTTTTTTTACCACCCATTCCTTCTTGTAGACTAGCTACCATTCAAGGCAAGAGAAAACAAACTATCTTATGGCTATAGCTGAACTCAAAGCAAGAGAGATCAATCTATCCTGTGGCCATAGCTGAAGGAAGATAGGTACTCGTATTTTCCAAAGAGTAATTGAATAAGATTAACAGACTAATTTGAGGCATATATGGTTAGGGAAAGTATTGATGCACTTACAAAACGAGAAAGATCGCACAGGACACATACATGGATAAACATAAGAAAAAAATGTGCAGCTTACGATAGCGAGGTTTAAAGAAATATGCATTTATTATGCAATGGTATGCGTGAAGGAATTCTATAAACCACTTTAAGACAGACACAAAAGATAACGGGGGGAGCAAGGTGAGACAAGGAAAGATGCGGATGAGGGTAAAAGGGATAGATTTTGGGGAGTGAGAGATAGAGAGCAGATTGACTGACACAGGTGTATGGGGAAATGCTACTAGTATGTGTTTCATTGATGGCATGCTGGATGCCTTTATCAAAATGAACTTTGATCATAACGATGATTCAATGGCAACAGAGCAAAGAAATAAAACAATGGAGAAGAAGTTTATTTGAAGAAGAGGTTAGAGGACAAAAGAAAGAAATTGATGAGGAAGAAGGATTAATGAAAGGAGGAGGAGGAGGAAAAGGGATGAAATGAATATTAAGGAAAAGAAAGGTGAAGGCAGTGATGAGAGAAAAGCAAGGTCAGGACAAAGCTAAAAGAATATAAGACGAGGACAAAGGCAGAAGAAAATGAAGGCAGGGAAAAGGAAGGCAAAGACAAAGGTGGAGGAAGAGGAAGGCAAAGACAAAGGTGGAGGAAGAGGAAGGCCAGGACAAAGATGGAAGAAGAAAAAGGCCAGGACAAAGATGGAAGAAGAAAAAGGCCAGGACAAAGATGGAAGAAGAAAAAGGCCAGGACAAAGATGGAAGAAGAAAAAGGCCAGGACAAAGATGGAGGAAGAAAAAGGCCAGGACAAAGATGGAAGAAGAAAAGGCCAGGACAAAAGATGGAAGAAGAAAAAAGGCCAGGACAAAGATGGAAGAAGAAAAAGGCCAGGACAAAGATGGAGGAAGAAAAAGGCCAGGAAAAAGATGGAAGAAGCAAAAGGCCAGGACAAAGACTGAAGAGGAGGTAAGCTAGCATATAATCAGAGGAAAAACAAAATCAGGACAAAATTTGGAGAAAATGGTTAAAATGAAAGATTAAGAGGAAAATAAAAATACAAAAGAAAGTGATGTAATACAAAAAAAAAAAAACAATCAGAAAGAGAAGGATAAAAAGGAAACTTATAAAAGGCGAATGGAGAAAAAAGTAGGAAGAGAATAAAGGAGAAAAAGAAGAGAGCAGATTGAAATGAAAAAGAAAGAAAATGAGAAAAAACCTGATTATAAGTTGTTGATGAAACTATTGCAAGCGCAGACCCCCGAATAATTCTAAGAAGAATGTCACTTTAAACATGGGCCAAGCTACGTCATCCAGTCAGCTGGCCAGCCATCTTGAAGTGTCTTTGTGATCTTCTCATCACACGGCTGTGATTGTTAGAAACGATAAGAGGGATGCTGAATTAGTGATGTAGATAATATCATAGCAGGTGTACCTTGATTTTTCTTTTCTCTCTTCTTTTCCCTTTAGAAGTAGCAACTGGCACACATGGGCCACGTCAGAAGAATGAGTCCGAAACAGTTGCTATGGTCTTCTGCTGTGATGCCGATTCACACAGATTTAAAAATACAGAAAGATGTTACACCACAGGCTGCCTCTCCATCCATCTATCCACAATGCCATTACCAAGCTCCTAACATGCTGCTAGAACAACTCTGTTATTTGCATTTTGCTAATTTTGTTCATGTTTAAGAATTCAATGGTACTCTTAAGTTCTACCTTGGTAAAGAGCTTTGGGTTTGTGTGTTCTTTAATGTCTAGATTTGTCTCCATAAAAAGTTGTTACATTTTTCTTTCTTTCACTTTCCTCATAGAATAAAACATTATTCAGTTCAGTTATATGCCATGCATGATACACACTCATCTTTCAACTACATGTTTGAAGGCAGATGAGGGTTTTATTTAGAAAGGAAATGACCCATCCATCCAAGGATATAGAACCCGTTTTTTTACCCACAAAGGGGAGAAAGAAGCCATTATACCTTTAAGGGTATTAGCACATAAGTAATGTGACCCAGATATCATCCATTGAGATAGATATGTGAAGGATATAGATAACCTGGTAAACAGTCCAAGATAGATCAGTTCCTGCCATGCATGATTATTTAGGTGATCATGTATATTTCAATACATAAAGGCAGATTCAGTAGGTTGCCATTTCTTAGGGTAGAATACATCCATCCATCCAGTATGATATTTATGGTCTGTCCTGCTATTGAATACAAATTGGGGAACCAAGATAACCTTTCCCATTAGAAGAATGATGATAGATAGATGTGAATAGACTGAGATAGATAAATAGATGTAAACAGTCCAAGATAGATCAGTTATGTGCCATGCATGATACACTCTTAGGTGATCATGTATCTTTTGATACATGACTGACGAGGCAGATTTTTTCCCCGCAGTAGGTTGCCATTTCTTTCTGCAGTAGACCAGTTGCCATCCAAGGCTATAGAACCCAGTCTGTCCTGCTATTTACTCATAGCTGGGTGGAGAATAAGAGATTCATATTGAATGCAATGGATTAACTGGAATTTGAAATGGATCCCAATTCCTCAAACCGAACTCGGCTCTATCCATTACTCAAACCACGCCGGGTTTTTCATAATGTAACGTCACTTATTGAACCTCAACATGGACAATGGTTATTTAATTTTTGTCTTGCTAGAACAATTACAACTTAGTAATGAATTTGATCCTTACTGGGTGCACCATACATTCAAATTTGTGCTACATCTAAGATATACTTAGAAAAATTACCATAATGTCACAGTTTTGGAAGTGAAATAAAAAAACATTCCAAATATAACAAGCATTAGATTTATTTATTAAAGATATAATTATTATTAATAATAGAAAATGTCTGCTATGAAACTAATTTTATTGATTGTTGAAACAATCTGGAATCCTGGATAGAAAAACAATGTACGGTCTTGGTGAACTGTTGGTACAATATGGCCAGTTTCATTTGTTACTTGCTACATAAGTCAACCACAATTAATAATTAATTTCTTCTTTTTTTTTTTTTTCCTTAGTAATCTTCAGTGAAGAAAGAAAATTTATACAAAAATGTCTTGGTTTGGTCAACAAAAGGTGTTATTCAGAATGATAATAAACAATGAACTCAGAAGGTGTAATCATCAGTTGAAGATATTTAACTGCATGCTTCAAATTGGATTAGCATCTTCTTTCTGTTTTTGTTGAAAGTCTACAAGTAATGTGGTTTCTGCTATTTGGTACAGTTCTTTCTTTGTGATTTAGAGAAAAAGGCCAGAATTTTAAAATTGATGGTCCTTGAAAAAGTTACAGGTTTTATCTGTTAATAAACCATTTTTGATCATTGATCTGAGAATGCAGTTGTATACAGCAGACAGGTTATATATTTCCGTACAGGGTTCACGCCATGAATGGCATCGATAGGAAAGTCTCTATTTCATGGAGGTATTGAAAAGCAGGACTTCAGTTTTTAGATAATTATTTTAGTTTTGTAGCTTTTAGCAGAGTTGGTCAAGACTAGCTCAGTTTAATTTCCTCATTTCCTTTACTAAATTTGTTATAATCGACCCATGTACAGAGATATCTGAAGTGTTTAGTACTTACTGATTCTACAAGGCTTTCTTCACAGATCTGTTAACGATTATTGCAGAAAGAGTCTATCAAGCTTTAGATAAGAATGGTGAAGCTCGAGTTGTTGCTTTGGAAATCTCAAAGACATTTGACACACAAAAATATTATTATTCTGAAAACAAGTTTGAAAGCTTATGGTATTTCTGAATGAATTGTAGAACCAATTGAAGCTTTTTTATTGAAAAGATCATGACATCTATCAGAGAGATGAAATTTATTTTTTTATTATTGCATTATTCCAAAATTTTAACACATCATCAGATAACTATTAATAATTTTTTCCACAAAAACACAAATTATTAATTAAAAGAAATTATAATTAATATTTTTTTTATTACATGTACAAAAATGTTGTTTTTAGTTAAAAAAAAAATAAAATATAAAACATGCTTTATATATATTTATGCTATGTTATAATGGTATGTCATTTTGAACAATAATAATACTAATTATTTTTTTAAACATTAAAGTATATTTAAATAAATAAACATATAAAATAATATAAAGGTTATTTAAATAAATTATTTTTCATCACATCATTCTGAAATAACATGTTTGATCTTTTTTTATCAATTTAAAACTCACAATTATCTAATAATGGACAATCTTCTAGATTAAAAAAGAAGTTTCACGCATAAATTTAAATGAAAAAATGATGTTTTCAATTCAATTGTTTTTAAAAAATAGAATTTAAGGCTTTAGGGATATATTTATAAACCTCAACTGATTTTTTTATTGTGAAATCATTTAAAATTTTTTGGAATTCTTTAGAAATTTCTTTAAAGCAATTGTTGATTAAATGAAAAAAATTTTAAAAAAATTTAATTCTCAAATAATAAAAAATTGAATTTTTAATTTTCATATAATGTTTTTTGAGTTTTTTATGCATAAAAATTAAAATTTCTCTTAATTTTAAAAGGAAAATCTTTTCTTCAAAAAATACCTAAACATACTATTGTTTCTTTGGCTATTTTTAAAATTGTTTTTAATTGCAATATCAAAAAAAATGAAAATTTTTCAATAAACGTTGTTTTAACTTAAAAAATTATTTTTTTAAATTTCAAATGTTATTTCAAAAAATTTTATCAATTTTATTTATAAATTTTTTTTTTTTTTTAAAAAAATATAAAAATAAATAGTTCATGTAAAAACATAAATTTTTTAGGTCAAATTGGCACTGATCATAAAATGGTTTAAATTCTGTTGTTTAATTGGGGTAAGGAATGGCTTGTTAATTATAACATCAAAAAAACAAAAAAATTATTAAATTTATTGATTTTTTTAATCTAACTGCAATATAGAAAAAAAAAATTCAGATATTCTTTTGATTTTAGTTGAAAAAAATTTTAACTAATCAAATTTCAAATCTTGCTTTGGAATTCTTTCTTAATGCTTTCCAGCCAACTTTAAAATCAAAAGAATTTGAAATGGAATATCAATCATATCTACCGTTCTAATAATTTTTGAATTTTTTTCTTTTGCTTTCAAAATCAATATATTACAATGAAAATTCACATAAAAAGGCTAATTTCTAACAAAATTATTTGGTTTATAATCAATTTATGTATTTTTATTTAATTTCTGGTAAACAATTCAAAAATTTACAATCTGTTTGTTTCAAGAATATTTTTTTTTTTTTATTCGATAAAAGATTTTAAACAAAAAAAAAAATTTAATAAAGAGAATTAAAAAGTATTAAAAAACAAAAACAAAAAAAAATCAAAATTCTAAACAGTTTTCTGTATAATTTCCCTTTTTTTAATTTTTTCATATTTTTTTAACATAAAATTATTTTCAATATTTCTTTTAATTTCTTTTTTAGAAAATAAAAAAAATTTTGATTTCAAATATTTTTTTTAATTTTTTGATTTAAAAAATCATATAATTTTTAATTCACTTGATTTAAACGAAATTATTTAAATTAAAATATATAAGGCAAAATTTAAATTTTTTTTTTTGTTTTGTTTTAATGTTTTAATTTTCATTCAAAAACTTTTCCTTGAATAAAAATTTAAAAGAAAATAGAAATTTTATTATTTAACAAAAAGTTTCTAAGGGGGATTCTTTAAAAATTGAAACCAGAAAATAAGATGTTAAAACATATTAATTAAAAAAAAAATTGACTGGTATTCTAACTTATTTTTTGATTTCTTATTCCAAAATTTATCCATTAATCAAAATTAAATCAAAATTAATATTACAAAATATCATTTCAGCAAATTTTTTTTCATTAATTATATATATATTTTTATTGTTTCAAATTTAATATATTTACCAGAGGAAGAAACAGCATTTTAACTAGGAAATGAGACTGATGCGAACATTTTCAAATCTCACCATTGTCAATTTGTCAGGAAAATGACTTTTGGTTGATCATTTGAAGGGGTTTTTCCCATATTTTTTGCAGCACCTTGAAAAAAAGGAAAAAACCATCTTATACAGGTTTAATTATTCATGACAAATTTCAGTGAAATTATTTACAGAGCCCTTTTCTATAATTTAGCAGTGCTATAAACTTTTACAAATAATTTTAAAAATCTTGATAATCTTGCCTTTTTTTTTTTTGATGGATAAATTTTAAATTCCAAT